AGGTTTCCCACCCCTGCTGTTTTGAATACCATTTTAGTCTTTTGATTAAGCTATGAAGAAAAGTGCAATTTTTTTATAAGAGGCCATGTACTTTTCAAATATTTGTATAGGATGTAATGGGAACTTATGAAAAAAAACATGAAGTAAGAAAATGAGTGTAGTGGGAATTTCCTTGAAATGTTAGGCAGTTTGAAAGACTTTTTAAATAAAGTGGTAGTAAGCAGGAAGCACTTAAAAATAATTGTTTCTTAATTTTTACTTTGTATTCCGTTATCACTGCTAATCGTTTACACATAATTTCCAACTTGAGCCTTTGCAAAAGGTTTGATGATTAGAATCATGTACTTGATCAATACATATTTATGTAAACATTGGGTAGTTTGGCATGAGTTTGTTCAATATGCGTCGTATGTTGTACTGTGTTTGAGGATGCTAAATGATTCAACTCGTGTGTGTGATGCTACGTAGATTAGATAATAGTTATACTTTCTGCCAATTTCATGCTCAGCATTTAATAGAAATTTGAATTATGGTATGCAAAAAAGAAGTTTGAAATTTTTGAACTAAATTCACTTTTACATTTAATAGAATGGTTTTTAACATTTAAAACCTAATTCGTTAAAGAAAGCACACCTAATTAGTTATCTCAGTGTTACTGAACATTAAAAGGAGGTAAGGATTTTAGTCTTAGTAAGAGTTGTGAGCACCAGTGTCTTACAGCTTATTAGTAACTGATTTCAAGCATTGTTTCGAGACCTGACAGTTTTCTCCAAGGTAACACATACATCCTGAATATTTTAGAAAGAAAATGTTTGTAACAATAGTAAGTTCAAAGCCTGCCCTAATTTCAAATGGATTTGTTTTGAGAGAAAGTGCATAACAACTATTTTATATAATAAAACATGAAAGCATTAATTTCTCTGTTTTGGTGTGGTGCTTTCAAAGTAGACCGGCGGTTCTAATCATAAAAATGCTGTGGCATACTTTTCTTTAAAAATTTGGAAGTTTTCAGTTTCTTAGAAATTCTGGTGATTAAACACTAGAATATTCTTTTCATTCTCATGTTATCATAAAATTAAGTCTTGTTATTCTCTCTGACAACTTTTGTGCTTTTATCCTTCTGTCCATTCTGGATGGACTGGGGACTGTGTATTTTTCAGGTAGAGAACGATCTGAACTGATAAAAAAAGCAATGCACAGTTGTTGACAGGTAATACAATGAATCAAAATCTGATTATAAAATACTGACATTTTCATTAAGAAAAATTTCATTAAATGAAAATGTTGGCAACTACCAACAGGGACTAGCTCTTCCTATTGAAATAAGATCGCTGAAAAGCAGCGATAACTTCTGGTAGCATATGCAATGCTGGGAACTGAGATGATCAAAACAAGGACTAATGTTCATATTGGGTTTGGTGGGCTTTATTTTTGTTCCAAAAGGCTGAGTTATCTTAGTGGTTAATCTGCTGTAGGGAGTAACGGCCAGAGGACAGAATGAGCTGTGGAGTCCCTGCCCAGTTGGCCTAAGAACTCTCCTTAATTCAGATCCCTGACTCCACTCATTCAGTACTCATCCAGCACATCTTTGTTGCTTTTTCATCCTGTGTCACTGGTTAGATATAAAATGTTTAGCTTGTATTGTGAGTGCAATACGATATTGCATATAACATATAATTTTTTATGTGTTTGTTACTTGTCCTAATTAAAGAATTTTTGGGTTGTTGCAAATGGCAGATTTTCAGTACATTTATTGTCTGAAAGATGCTCTTTGAAGCTCTTTGACAAACTATTTTTGGTTCGTACATACCGTCTTTTATCTTCAGAATAAGAGCAGTCTTTCTTCTTTGCACTTCCAGAACATCATTCAACATGTGTGATTTATTCAAATTACCAGGGCATGGGTGTCATCTTAAAGCTATGGTACACATTTCTCAAGTTCAAAGTGGTTTAATTCTTTGCTAACGTTGCAAGAAGTGATTTATCACAGAGTATGTCTGCAAGACCTGTTTTCTCCTGATTAAAAACAAGCCAAACTGTAATAACTGTGCTAACAGCTGTCCTTTTTAAACACTGAGGGCGAAACTGTTTTTTTGGAAGTACTGCAGTGGTGTTCACTCAGCACAGAAGATTTAAATTTATTCTTCACAGTAAGCACTGTGTGCAGGGGATGCTGATTTCTTCCAAATCCTCTTCCAGCCTAATGCCCAGTTGTGATTATAAGAACAACTGTCTTGTTCAGACCAAGTCCTTTATCTTTTCATCACACAAGCCACTCTGAGACTATGTCCCATAACACAGTTAAGGCAGTTTTGTTCATCTATAATGTGGTAATAGAACAAAACCTCATTTTTTTTTTTCCTAATTTTTGTAGTGTTGCCTTTTCAGTAAAATGTTTTCCTATATTTTTGTCTGATTTTCTGTCTCACATAGCAAAGATGTTGTTAGCTTTGTTATTAAAATTCCAAAAATAAAACAGATTAATGTTTAGTTTGCCAGTACGTTGGCTTTGAGCCCTGTTTGTGAGATCTTCAACTTCATGACCTTTCATTTATAAAGGAATGGTGTTCAGTTTTTCTTGAGCTTTTCTCATCATAATTTTACAAATTTCCATGTGCCAAGCCCATCTGTCAAAGTGCATTTTGATTTTTTTTTTTAATGTGTAAAACTGCAGCATAAGGAAGCATCATAATGTCATTGTTGGCACTGAATTTTTTGGGAAATAACAGGATTTTCTCTCTACGGTTTTCATTACCACTTTGCCAAAAAAGGACCCATCTCCAAACTATCCATCCCCTCCTTGTTATCTCAATGATGTAGATGTTCACTTTTTCACACTGTAAATTTCTAGGTTAACAGCCTCATGCTATCAGTTTTTAAAATTTCATAAACAGAAAACACTTTTTGGTCTTTGAATGCTTACTAAAGTCCCATTACAGTTTCACGTGTTTTTTGAAGCTGCCCATGCTCAAAAAAATCTGTTCCCCACCAAGGAGCACAGAAACATTTGCATCCTGCAATTATACAAAACCAGTGTTTCAGTGTTAGCCTAGAGCATTAATAATTTTTGAAAATTAATTATGTGTGTTCCTTTTCCTTGTTGTTCTTGTCTTTTGCTACGGAGATGAGAAGATCCGTTTGCTTTGTGAGATGGAAAGGTATCTCTGGTGCCATTGGTTCATGTACCAAGTTGAACTGAAAACACAACAAAACCATGCAACTTCTTTTCTTCTGTATGTTGTCAGTGCTTAATCAAAGACTTTATGATTAAGAGGTTTCAAATCATCACTGAGATTTCTTGATGGTTCAAACATTTCCAGTAATTTCTAGTAGTAGGCATATTTTAGTAGTAGGCATAGTATTGCCTATTACTGAGTTTCTCTGTGTATCTAGATTAAACAAGTCCAGACTAAAAGCAAATCAACACCTGTGTAAAGAAGTTGAATCTTTGGCACCATTTCTGCTGTTAATTTGCTTGTGCTGCATAGCAATGTTTGCTAATTTAGAGGTAGTTGAGGAGTGTTGGAACAGTTGGAAATGTGACCTGTTGTGGTAGCTTCTCTATTCACCGATTGTCCTTGAAAAGCTGAAATTATATGAGCATGACTTTAGCGTACCCAAAAGGAAGAGGAGTCATATGGCTTCTCTCTGTGAATATATGGGGATTACACAGCAGAATGGGAAAAGAGTTCTTTAAATTCAAGAACTATGTTGAAATAAACCGTAATAGGAGCTGAAAGTTAGAAGATTGTTTCCAAGTCAGAGGATGGTGTGTCTGTAATAGCTTTTCTGTGGGCCCTATGGGACCTAACAACCAAACTGCTTTATAGTTGAAGCTTGACTGCTTTGTAATAGGGTTGATAAAATGTGGTTGCCTGCAATAGAGGCATAGTAGAGGCTACTCCAGTAAATCAAGAAGTTGCTTGTAAGTTCATGTTTATAACTTTCCTTTTTTCTCATCATCTTTGGTGTATTTATGAGGTTTTGTTCTGTGGTTCACACCCCAACCCCTTACCCCCATCATACTATGGTTTTATAGCTTTCTTTTTGTAGGTCTAGCTTTTTTCTAATTTTGATTGCTATTGGTGGAGGTGTTTCTTGTCTTCCTCACTAACATCAAAACTAAGATACTTACTTTATTTATATTTAAATAGGACCCTAATGAAACTAAAGTACTTTACTGATCTGCGTCATTTCTCTACAACTGCCTAAGCTTATGTAGCAGAAAAACAGTGTCTTTCCCTTTTATCAGTGCCGAGCTAAAGAACATGAATGATTTAAATCATAGGTGCAGGGTGGTAGATCCAAGATCCTGGGTTTCCAACTCCAAATACTGCTGTAAAATCATACTGTTATTTTTTTGTCTTATAAAGACTTCAATTTAAGTGCAGCTCTTCAGATGTAGAATGCTTTTTTTAAATTTATACACAGTACATATTTTTACCATAATAATGGGGAAACCAAACTTTTGTAAGAATTGCTCATCACGGTTTTTTTGAACACTTTCATAGCTATTGCTTCCATCTGCATAAGCAGATCACAGTGAGTACTTTCAGTTGTGCTTTCCATTACATAAATTAATGACATGAGTGGTGCTGCAGTGTTACGGAGGGCTGTGCTCCCTGATGCTTACCAAACAGAAAATCTCCTTAGAGTTTTGAGTTGGACAACTGGAAGATAATGCATCATGTAAAAGAAAAGATCACAAAGTAACCTTTAGCTAAGCAGACACAAAATTTTGAGGGAATGCTGTTACCTCTGAAGCTTCTCTCTGCTGTTACATCATTGGAGGGCCTTTCTCGATAAAATCTTACAATAATAGTAGTTTGGTTGGTGTGCTTTTGTTTATTTACTTAAGCAAATGTGCATACGTATTTATGTGTGTTTAAGCATGTGTATTTATGTTTACATAAAACTCCAAAAAGTAGCATTTTGTGAAAGTTATTATACCTTATGTATTTTATTGGTTTTATATTTTAGTGTCTGAAAGAGGCCTAGAAATGTTAACAGGTACTGTGTCTGTGGAAAAAGGAGGTTTGTAAAGAGGAGGAAGAAGAGCGTATTACATTACACACTTGTATGGTAGCCCAGAACTATTAGCAAAGTATAAAAAAAATGCATAAACTGACTCTCTGGTGTTTTGGCTACTAATAAAATCTCTATACTTAATGAGAGAGGGGAGAAACGTCTCCATTTCTAGACCAGCAAATAATTCTGGCCCTGGCATGTGTCCTATTTCCAGCGTTCTCAAGTACTTTAGAGTGAAGTGATTCATGTTTATAACATTATAATGTAGCCACAATTATCGTAGTTTTATATATGGAAAAATTGAAGGAGAAAGTTATTGACTCAGTCAAGGTTACACTCGTAACAGTTACAGTCCATGATTAGATTCCTTTTATTTTGACGTGGTAGCCACTGGTTTGTCTAGCGCACTATGGTGACTGCTGTTGTCTTCTGGTATAGCCAAAGGAGATTGGAGATTATACTGCTTGGATTAGTTTGAGAGAATTAGAAAACATGGAAAGCTGATGGAGTTGGTATTTGTCAACCCTTACTGAAGTTCACAGGAGAAAAACTATTCGTGTTGAAGAAATCAGTGCAGACACAATATACAACAAATGGTGTAAGTTGGAAGGGACCTTAAAGGTCATCCAGTCCAACCCCCCTGCCATGGGCAGGGACACCTCCCATCAGACCAGGTTGCCCAAAGCCCTGTCCAACCTGGCCTTGAAACTTCAAGGGAGGAAGCATCCACAACTTCCCTGGGCAACCTGTGCCAGTGTCTCACCAACCTCACAGTAAAGAATTTCTTCCCACTATCTAGTCTAAATCTACCCTCTTCCAGTTTAAAACCATTACTCCTCATCCTATGACTACATGCCCATGTAAAAAGTCCCTCCCCAGCTTTCTTGTAGGCCCCTTTAGGTACTGGCAAGGCCACTGTAAGGTCTTCCGGGAGCCTTTTGTTCTCCGGGCTGAACAACCTCAACTCTCAGCCTGTCTTCACAGAGGAGGTCCTCCCCCTTGATCATCTTCATGGCCCTCTTCTGGAGTCACTCCAACAGGTCCATGTCATTCTTTTGTTGGGGACCCCAGAGTTGAACACAATACTCCAGGTGGGGTCTCATTAGTTGTGCATAACCTGACTTTGTGCTTTTGTTTAGATATGGGATGAGTATGCGTTCTTGTCACAAGTGTGTATTAACATTTAACTTCAAATAATTAAATGCCTGCATTTTGTTTGTCTCCTTCCAAACAAATTTGCTCCTTTTTTTAGATAATTTTAATGTGTATATCCCTGTTCACACCAATTAATATCAGAACATGATGTTGATTTTGTTTTAGTTGGTGTTATAAAAAGAAAATTTTTAATATGAAAACAGTGATGAATTGGAATTTGATTGAAATGATTTATAATTTTTTGAATTGGAAGTGTAATGTGAGAAGGAATTAAAGAAATTGCTCTTATCAATGAGTATAATTTTTAAGTTTTCATTAACATATTTTTATTTAACATCCACATTTATGACTTTGCATAAAATGAGTATTTTCTGCAGATGAGAACAAAACTTGATGACTTCCCATCTTGTTAATTCTGTCTTGGAGTTTGTTAATAGCATTACCTTAGCATCTGTTCACTTTTGAAGTTCTGATTGTGATTTTGTACTTTCCGAAAAACTCAACAGGCATTTTCATTTAACTCAGTGTTCCAAGTTTGTTAATACATGTCTCCATCGTCTATATCTTTGTCTCTTAACTAATTTTTTCAGATTTAAACCCCAGTGCCTTAGAAAATGCATATTAAAATTGTTTTTCATAACAGACATTTCTTCTAAATCCCTGCCACTAAAGAGCACTTTCATCAGAATAAATTCAGCAGTATGTCATTGTAAAGATTAAACTGCAGCAGCAGTTACGGTAATGAATAGATTACAGATCAGTAGGCACCATTAAAAATGAGGATACGGTAGGATGCAAATGGTGAAATAGGGTGCATCGTTCTTGAAGATTAAATCCTGTGTTCAAAAATCTTGGTTTTCAAAGTTGAAATACTCTCAGGGAAAAAACACAGTAATAATGTTTGCTTTTAGATTAGTTGCTTAAAATATCATACATTTGACTTCTTCAGGTGTCCATTTGCTTTCTTGACTTTTGAATTTATTTTAAGCTGAAACGCTTCGATATGTTTCTCTTTCTACTTTTGTGACTGCGGTTTTTAATAGAAAATCTTCCACTTTGCAGGCAATGTTCAGAGTGTGACCAGGCAGGTAGCAGTGATATGGAGGCTGATATTGCCATGGAAACCTTACCAGATGGGACCAAACGGTCGAGGAGGCAGATTAAGGAACCAGTGAAATTTGTTCCTCAGGATGTACCGCCGGAACCGAAGAAAATTCCAATCAGAAACACGGTAAATGATGGTTGAGTTGTTATGATGCAGCTCATATTCATCATAATTTTGTTTTCAGATGACTTATGTTTTGGAGATTTTGAATTGCGGGATTTCAATTTGACTGATGTTCTGTTTTTATCATAAATGACCTTTTATCTGTTTAATTCTTTATCGCTTGTGTTAAATACATAGTTTGGCTACAACAAAAAGCTGGGAAACACAGTACTGAACTGAAGAGCTGTGCAAGCTTTTCCTTTTACCTGGGTCACAAAGTCCTCTGTTAATTGCAGAAAAAGGCAAAATTCAGTATGCACTTAAACTTAGCCTTTACAGCTGTTCTGCATCTTTTTGATAAGGATACTTTGTTCTTGTATGCTATGATTTAAATATATCGAATTGCCAGTTACAGCTGTGAACTAATTAGCCATTTCCTTGTGTATGGACAACCTACTGACTGCACATTTTGTGACTATCACAAGACCCTATTATTTCAGTCTGTTTCCTAGTCTTACTAGTCATCGTATGTTTTCCTGGTGCATAGTTATTAGAGAAAAGATGCAAAAGCTCTTGCTTCCTGTACTGATGAAATATTTAGCATCTTTCATTTGAAAGTAGAACTTTTTTATTAATTAGGGTATTCTGTTGTGTTTCTCCAATGCTATACTCCTTAAAATTCTGCTCTCCAACTTGATCATAGAACAAGGTTTTTCATATGTGATGTGTCACAACACCTGTAAAATATACATGAAATATCAAAAGGCTTTTAGGTCCAGTTTAGGGAATGTGTAGTGTTCCTGTGACCCTTTGGACATGTCACATATATAAAAACTGGTGGTTCATCTTCCAGTATACTTCTTACTATTAAGAAATACTTAAACCCTCTCGTGTTAGGCATATTTCATCTCTCATGCAACACAACTTTATTTTCCTCACAGAGCTCTCCAGAGTTTTTATGCTTGAGGTAGCAGTTACCCTGCTTAACTCTTCTGAGTATACACTGATAGGATCAAACAAGCATTTTCCTGACTTAACCTTAAATCTTTGCATTAATTACTTTTCAAAATATTTGGACTGTTTGGGCTGCAGCTTTAATTTACCTAATGGCTTCCTTTTCCTGGTCTATGATTAAGAAGAACTTTTAAGAGTGACTGAAGGGTAAGTGATTAACTTAGCTCAAACTATTAGGAGTGTGAGTAATCCAAAATTGGATTTTGTGAATAACTGAGAACCCCTATATAGGGGACAAAGTTTTATCTTCTTTCTTTTTCTCATTGAGGGAAAGTTCCCTTCTTCCCCATGTGTAAGAACACATAGGTTCACACCTGTCTGGGTAAGTTGAACTGCCTGTTGTCATGCTGTTGTTCACATAGAAAAGACTTACCTGGTATTCCTGCTTACTGAACCCTTTGGATCTTCTCTCTCCTTTTTCTTCGTTCCCTTCCCTCTTTTCACACCTAATTTAGTGGTGTTAAGGGGTGGAAAATCGTGATTATGGGACTAAAATGAACTAACTGTTGCAGGAAAGACAATCCTAGTAGTAATAGACAAAAAGAGGGATATAAGGCATTATACAGAAATCCATAGGAAAACAAGACTGGCTTGTTCTAATGCCCATTTAATAACTGCTCAGCACCTTCTGTGCTAAATGTAGAGAAATCTGATTGCTCTGAAGTGTTCCCCTCACACTGTGACACTGACATGCTACAGTGGTGACTTGCCATCTCACATGTTAGGGGGTGTGTCTACGCACACTGGTATGTAATAAAGAGATTACATTTACTTTCAGTGGACCAGTATGTTGGCACGGTACAGCTTTGTAATGTGGAGGAATTACTGCTGCCAGTCCAAGAAAGACTTTGTTCCTCTGCTTGAATTTTTAGGCTCTTTTCCCATTCTTTCAAATTCTCTGCTTTTCTACAACATACAGATTTACAAGATAACATCTTGGTGCACTTAGTTCTGTATAACAGAATGAGGATCACAGACCCGTGAAGACTTAATAAATACTTCCTGGCAGTACAGGATTCGTACAGTACCTTTGCTGTGAACCAAGGAAAGTTGGTGTTAGGTTTTGTTGCTTGTTTGGTTTAGTTTGGGGTTTTTTGTGGGTTTTTGTTTGTTTTGGTTTTTGGTTTTGTTTTTTTTTTTAAGGAAGAGAATACTTTTTAATTCCTTAGATCTGGAGTTGTCTGTATATTTGGAAAAAAACCCCAAACAACCAAAAACCAAAAAAAAACCCAACCAAAACCTCAGAAACAACCTTTGAACAGCTTCTCATGTGAAGTTTACTTGAGTCTGACACAGCAAACATGTGGTACATTTCAGCAATGATGACCAGATGCTTATTCTGTCCTTTGTGTACTTCTCAAATCCTTTAAAAGGGTTTAAAATAAAGAAAAAAAAATAGCAATTTGAAAATAATTGCTGAACTGTCCTCTGAGTGTACTTTGTATCTCCAGGTATGTTTTATTTGATTTAGTTTTATTTTGGAAGAAATTGGCAAGCTTGCTTAGCTAACAGTGTGTAATCAGCCTTGCTTACAGCTACAATCAACAAGTGCAATTATAAGACTGTTGAATTGTGTATCTGTTGCTCTTAAGGAAATTTCCATTTGTTTTGCATAAATTTATCTTGAATTGATATAATTGAAAGAAGGTGGGTTTTTTTACCATGTACCCAAGAGAACAGGGTGCATCTTACGTGTTTAGATTTCGTTGTAGTGGTTTATCATAGTTAACTCTTCATTACTTTGTTGACAGAAATTGTGGGTAAGCCCTAATATTTTATTTTTATAAAGTTGCATTAGGTGTTACTAATGACAGTAATAGCTGGTGTCTGTAAAACACTTTATACAAATACATATGATTAATGCCGCCTGTATGCTAACTATATGAAAACATATTTCATGTTAAACTGTACTTTCAGAATTGATATTTTGCAATCATCTTGTCCTGCAGCCTCTAGTTGGTAACACTGATTTCAGAGATGATGAAGGATACCCCCTTTCATGAAAAATTGCTTTTTTCTGTATTCATAGTATTTTTTTGTAATTTCTCTCTGCTTGGGATATACTATGAAGAATAAAAGGCTCTTTTAGAAGTATTCATAATTTTACTATTGTTTCACATCCAACCTAATTATGGATGTATAATTAAGTCCTGCAGTTTTTTGTTTTAATCCTTTGAAGCATCTGAATTCATTAATGTTGTGGATTTTCCTTTCCAGGGCTAAACTGTTTTTTAAGGAACTAGTAATGGATTTTTTTCCACTTTGAATGTAACCTTAAAATTTCCTTTTGTTTAGCATTATTGCAAGAAATAATGACATCTAATTTTAATATCTGTAAGCTGTACTAGTTCTCCTGCTTTTTTTCCTTTATGAACTTAACAGTTCTTTTCAGGATTTTCTCATCTTAAGTCTCTTACGTACTTCACCTTACATCTGTGTGGATATACTCTTAGAGTTTGAGTGGGATGCTCTGTGTTGTTTTGAATGAGGTGCCTATTCTTCCTATCTTCAGTCTGCTTGTGCAAAATCTTGGCTCATAACTAATTACTGGCTGGGAATAGCTCTGAGGAATATTCATTTTCCACTCATTGAGAGAAAGGCAAGACTGTTTAATGAAAACTCTGGTTTTCTCCTAGGGACGACATTGTTCAAATCTTAATTCAATCTAGTCTTACATCAGAACAGTGATGGCCAGAGGCCCATGGCAATTGGAGTACACTGGTGTTCACAGCTTCTTTGTGATACCGGAGACTCGGCTTCTGTCTGTTATTTGGAAGTGTGAGAGAAGTGAGACTGAAGCAGTTATTCAGTCAGGACAGTGCTTTTCCCATGTACAGTTCTTTACATTAATTGTGTGTCAGGGCAGTATTTTGCATCCTAATGCTGTTTAAGCAATTTAAAACAACACTCTGAAATGCTTTCTGGTATTGTCATCTCTTAACTTTCAAATACTTGGGAAGATAACACATACACACACACACATATCTCTAGAAGATCAGCTGTTTCAAAGAAAATGAGGTGACAGAGAGAAAGCCCAGCCACTTGGACTGCATTGTTGTAGAGACAGTGCTTATCATATTGTACAGTAAAAAATACATTTTACAAGAAGGTATTTCATTTTTTTTCTCCAACTTACTAAGAAAGACCATGCAAACGAGTACATCTAAATACACAAGAGTAAATTTAAAGATACTGGAATTCTACTCTGAGTCAGGATCTATACAAATTATAAATGAATGTAAATAGGCAAGACATTAGGCTTTTACACTTTAATCTGTTGTATGAGGACTGTATTTGTGGACAGAATTTAGTTAATTGTTTATACTTATACAATTCAACCCAAAGAGGTTTAGTGGTCTAAACTACCTTTATTTGAAATCTGTAAACTTTGTATTTCCATTTTCATAATTGTATGAGCTTCACAAATCATTATTTCTGCTGCTAGTTAATTTCAGAGATATTTAATAGCTAATGATTAGCTAATAGCTTATAGAAATAAATAGCTAAACTTTGTAAATCAGTAGGTGTCTATAAACATTATTTTTGATATCTGTTAAATACCTGATTTTAACATTTGCTTTTCAGAGCTGTACAACTTTGTCATATTGGATATTTTTACTGTAAAGATCAAAAGTATACAATAGTTTATTTGGAAAAAATATTTAAAGACATATGGGTAGTGATTTACAGCAGTAGATTGAGATAATGCTTTTCATCTACTCAGCTATATATGTTCAGTTCTTCAGAGCCTTTTTGAGATGATCTGTCTTTACAAAAAACAGCTTTTAACACATTTCCAGCTTCCTTTGCTATCCTTGAATAAAAAAGAAGAGAGATTATTGTTTACTAAAATGTTATCAGTAAAATGATTTATTTAATCTGGTGTCATATTTTTGCAAAATAAGTGTTTTCTTTCTGTCCCTTGAAAAAAATTAAATATATTTCTGTGAATTTCTTCACTTAAAAATTGTCATGAAGTCTGCTTTACCTACTGTATGTGCTGTCGTGTG